CAAAATAATTTTTAGACCAAACAGGCACAACAAATTGAAAGTTTTTAAAAATAAAAAAAAAAAAAAAAAAAAAAAATATATATATATATATATATATATATATATATATATATATATATATATATAATTTTATTTAAAAAAGAAAAAGTCTTCTAACATTTTACAACATATCTCTATCAGGTTGTGTATATGTACAAAGCAATAGGTGGCGGAAGATTCTGATTTAACTTCCCTTATGACAATTAATACAAAGAAATATATTCTTCAGACCCCATGAAAGAATACAATAAAACAAAAAACAACAACTATATTCTTTATCCGAGCTCTGTAAATTTTTACAGATTTATTCTTCTGTCCATTGTAACATTTAAATTAACCAAACAATAATTGATGGTATGAATCAGTTATTGTTCATTTATGCTTCTGTTTATATACACTGTTTTTGTTCTGATTGTTTTTGTAATATCTGCATTTTAGTTCTGAAAAAAAAATGCTTGGATACATTTTTCTTCTTTGTTTATGCACCACTTCACCGACACCACAAGATGGCGCAAAATCCAACATTGTCAATTGATTTTATCTTTCCAAATAGAAAAAACCCCCCAGATAATTAAAGTGCAGTCTGCACTTGTTTTCACATAGTAATTGGAAAAAAAAAACAAAAAAAAAACAGAATCATATGTAAAAATGCCTTTAACCTTACCTAAAACAGTCAAAGAGATAGTTTCGCTCTTTTTACAGACTCCTCTCCAGCGAGCAGAGCACTGGAATTCAGTTATCTTCAGATCTTCTAACGTGTAGCTTTTCTGTGAGTCGTAGGGAAAAGTGTCTTGACTCTTCCTGGTAACTTGGTATTTCCAGTTAGTCTCTTCTCCTCCGTTCACGTAACATCTGAAGGTAATAGACTCTCCCAAATAAAACGTGGACCAGTTGGGCTCAGCTGTCAGCACGACGTCTACAACACAAACATTTAACACGTATAAATGTTGACCAATAAAGCTGAGAGATCTTCGGGGAGGCTGAATGTGACATGAAAAAATACGAACAACAAGGAACACTGACTTACCTTGAGCTTGTCCACCCCAACGGAGTATATTCAGTACTAAAAATAAATGAAAACTTTCTGAATATTAGAGACAAACAAGATGTCTAAAATAGAGAAGATCTCTCTTTTTTGTTCATCAGCATGACATCAGCTGGTTAAGCTATTTTTTTTCTCTGCCTCATGAGATCATCTCGCACTTCTGCATTTTCCTGAGAAACTTCACATCTTGATTCTGAGTCAGAAAACATCTTAAAAATATCCTGCACAGTTTCTGGAAATTCACTCCCACCTCTACTTAAAATATATATTTATTCCGAGTAATAAATTGCACCCTTTGCTTCATATCACCTTTTTTTTTTACCTTTGTTTGTTTGTTGATTAACTATTTGCAGCCATGTTGACAACACTACATCTAAAGATCTATGAAACGTCCCTGAGTTTGACTGATAGTTATACGTAACTTTTTAAATCAGATATATGTTCTTAACATTTTTTACATTCCGTTAAGTACAGCACAGGAAACATTAAGAAATACATACGTCAAACTAAAAAGACAAATAGAACAGAAGCTGAAAAGAAATTAAATGGAGAAGATTTCTGTGGACTGAAATCCAACATCCAGTTTCTCTCATTGATTTGACCAATCAAAAGAAAAAAAGTGATCTACTTACACAATAAGTCCAGCGCATAGGTCATCATCTTCCCCATTTTGAAATTCAGACCAAGCAATGTTGTTCTATTTTATCTTCAGTTTTTCAGAAGAGGCAGGTTGTAATGTCTGTATAGACAAAGAACAGTGGGAATCAGGATGTATGTTTTATGGCAATATGAAATTTTGTCTTATTTGATTTTAAACACCCACCTTATTCCACTGAGGCTTCCTGTCCAGTGATGCGAAGGCGTGGTTAAAGAAAGACGGAGTGCTTGGTTTCAGTTCCCAAGTTTTATGTATTAGACATTAACAATCATTAATAAATATAAACTGAGGTAATAACAATTCAAACTAACAACAGACAGCGGGCCACGTAAACATTTCTTTAAGAAGAGGTAGAAGACAAGAGAAAAACAAAGAAGACCTCATGTTTTATCAGCAGCTGATGACAGCTGATTGTCTGACAGCTAAGTACAGCTGTCAGACAGATAGAAAACTGTGGTTTACAGAGGAACTTACGACTGACTTAATCACAGCTTGTCTAGCAACAACATTTTCAGATTCACTCCACGTAAGGGGCCCGGTGATTCCTTAGGGGCCCGGTAATTGGCCCCGCCCCCCGGCCCGACGCTAACTTGTTCCGCTACTGCATATTTATATAACTATACGAACACTAATAAATAAAGATTAATAATGCCACAAATAAATAATGATTAATACTGAATTATATATATATATATATATATATATATATATATATAAGTATATATATATATGTTTTTCAGCAGACAAAATCCGATGTGAGATTCATCCATGCTGCAGTGAATCCGTCTCTCTTTATAGATATCACCCTCTTCTTCCTCACATCGTGTCTTTAGGAAATTTTCAAAACAAAAACGGAAGATTTAGGATGCATCTTACTTTTGACAGAGTGAAAGAATATAAATAATAGTCTTTACCACCTGTGTAAACTTTGCTGGTCAATGTTATAACATT